ACCGGAGTGGGGATGGAAGGCGGGGGAGGGGGGGGGGGCGGGGGTTAGACCCCCCCCAATGGGGAAGACAACGATCAGTGGCCAACACCTACCACCCACGCCGGCCACATCACTACCCCTGACCACTCCCTTTCCACGTCATGAGTTTGTTTTCATTTTAATTTTCCACGTGGACCACTCCCATTTAGACACCTGTCCCGTGTCTAAATGTTGTCAAAAGAGGTTGTTCAAGTATCATTTTCCTATTTATAAACAAAGTTTATCCAATTGAATGAATTTATTTAGTTTTACTTTTTCAAGGGACATATCTTTTAAGGACATTGATGGATCATCTTTATTTTGGTCCATGCATACTGCTAGCTTTAACGAGACAATGGTTTGGGACCACTTAACCCAATACCTCGGAACCACACTTTCTTAAACAAAATCTGCCACCGTATATGAACCAAAACAAAGTTACTACCAAAATAAAAATCTAATGAACTCGATCGATTAAATTTCTATTAAAATTTATTTAAAATAAATGTAAAATCTAAATGGAGTTTAATTTTAATTTAGCATAACATTTAAATCAGACCAAATAATTTCAATTTTGTTTATTTTTATCATTACAAAATCATTGATTATTTATGATAAAAAAAATGGCTAAAAATATAATCTTACATTTATAAATAAATTACATAACCTTATATAATTTTTTATTATGTTTTAATAAATATGAAAAAATATAATTAAACAGTAAAACTGTTTTAGAAGAACATACTTATCTATATTTACAACTTATTAATTAAATATAAATATTATATATTATATATTATAGTTTGATTTAATGGGAGTGTAGTTCTGTGTTTTTACTCCGAAATTGAATCAAACTGTTCAAAATTAAAAAGAAATAGCTTAAAACAATTGTTAACTTATGAATCAGTTTTAGATAATTTTTTTAATCCGCCCATGTTTTAGTATAAATATTTCCTGTAAAACCCTTTTAATTTATAAAGCTTTTTTTTTAATAAATTAAAATCAGCCACTCTTGGAGTTTGAAAATGAAAAAACCTCTTTTTCTCTAACATATTATCATTCAACCTTGATACGTTTCTTTATTCTCCTCGCTTAAATTTCATTATCTTCATATTCAGTGGTTGAGACTGTGACGCCCGTATAGTCCTCTTAAAATCTAATCCAACAATATCTCATTCGGATAATTTTCGATCTCTCACACTTTGTGTTGTTTAGTCTTGCTTTGTATGCAATATCTCTTAGGTTGTATGTGCTCTTTGTGTCTGTTTTTCACTCTCGACTAATAAGTGGTTTGTTTGGTTCGATTCGAATTGTTTTTCCGTTGTCTTTAAGTTAAGGTAGAACTTTCACAAGTTAAAGTTAAAGGCAATTGGGGTTCTTAGAGAATTCTAAGTTATCTTCTAAAGTGAGGGAAGCTAGGTTTTTTACACATTTCATGATTAATTTTTTGTCATTGAATTGTTTGCATGTTGAATCTGAATTGTTTTTAATGGTATTGTTGTGTACTTTGTATTTTTGTTGTGCTGGAATTGGAATGGGTTTGTTGATTGGGGAAATTATATGAATTGGGATGTTTTGGAATGAGAAATTTTAATTATTGCAATTTGGTTAATTTGGGTATCAATTATAAAACATTTGAAATGAATTTGAGTTGAGAAAAATGCAAGATATCAAATTGTACAATGGAACAAGCCAAAATCTCACATTTTCATAAGCATTTGGTATGGCATTGATCGACAAACTAGGAGCGTTGAGCACTGGTTTTAAAACCTCACACTCAATGGCATTTTCGTGACAAGCTAAGTGATAGTTTCTACCATTGAGCACGCCCAATTCAAAGAGCTTCAATGGCCCTGACGTTGAGCACTAGTCCTTACCATTGAGCACTCCCTTGATAGTGAGCCCTTATGAACTCAAGTGTTGAGCGTGCCTTGTTGTCATTGAGCACCAGTTTACTGTGTGTGTTCTGTCTTGTAGTTCTTTTTACATTCTCAAGTTATGTGATTATGAGATCATGATGTTCATAATGGTTTTGATGTTATTACTCTTAAACATGGTATGAATGGATGAGTTTTAAGACAATCCAAGGAGGGAATCCCATTGAATATGTTTTCTTTAGTGTGCGCATAGATGTACGGATTCAAGTAAAGAGATATCTTAATACTCTAATAATCATTCACACTTATATAAAGTATAATGGTGGTGAGAGTACCAAGATATTCTATTCTAGAAACTTTTCCTTGGCCTAAGATGTGAAGGGAATTAACCTAGTGTATGGTAGAGTGAAATACATTAGCAATGACTCTATAGAGTAGTAAAGGTCACCACAAATGCATGTTTATGGTAAATTTGATATTGAAACATGTATCCAAATAATTAAATTTAAAGAGCTGTAATTGTATGATTGATTAGTCTATAAATGTTTAAATTAAATTATTTTATGATGAAATCAGTTTAAATGTTATATGTTTATTATTTATAAATTAGTTTATCCCCTCTCATTTGTTTATGTATTCTCTTATTTGTTTACTTCTTTTACCATTATTACCATGTGAACATACGAGGGTGAAGCAAATTTGGATGGTGATGATATTGTTGTTTATTTTTTGTTTGTCTGAAATTGTTGTAAGGTTTAATTATGTCTTAGTATCTTGGAGTTGGAGTTTCTTTTAGTGTCGTGATACTGTTTATATCCTTGAATAACTATAATGGTAATTCTTCAATGTATGTATGGATTATATGTTTTGAATTAATAAATTTGTTATTTTAGTATATAAAATTACAAATGCTATTTAAAAGTAAAATAAAAAGACCGAACATTTTAAAGAAACCCACAAACAAAAAATATACATAACGTATTAAAATTCTTTTATTGTTCTCTAGTAAAGTTTAGGATTTGATTAAGAATTATGGATTTCGAAATCCTATAAAAGATTTTTTGTTTGTCAAATTTTAATATCTAATGAAGGATTTTTTTTTTCTCAAATTTTAAAATTCAATTAAGGATTTTGTCTTTCGAAATTCGATGAAAAATCTCTTAAAATCTTTTTATCTTCAAGTGGTGATCACAACTATAACCTAAAGTGACGTTTCAAAATGCATTGTGTTTGTATCCTTAAGAAAGAAAAGGCCTTAGATTAGTGTAGTAAATCAAATATATTATCGTCCAACTTGAGGAAATAAATGGAGAAAAAACAAGTCTTCGAAAAAAAGATAAGGAAAGAATAGTTACAAAAATTGTTGTAAAGTGCTTAGATTTATGACTTTGCAAAGAATAAAGAAAAACTACAGTTCCATTTAAGATATTTAAACATTTTCATAGAAGCTATTGTAAGTGTTATACCACAACTCAAATCCTGCAAAAGCTAGCAATCAAAGATTTTAAGCTGACAATTAAAGTACATTTGGGCAAGTAACAATAATTATTTTCCATAGTTTATTTCGCTATTATTTTTACTCTAGAAAGTAGGAGGGAATTACTTAACATTTTAGTTATTCATAATGCAAATTCATTTAGAAAATATTAATAAGCTTATTACAGAAAATTACTTGATTTGATTTACATAAAATATAACCAACCGCTTACTGAAAGATATAATATTAAGTGTGAAATTAACAATATTATACATACATTAATAAGTACAATGAGTAGTAATGATGATAATAAAAAGATTAAAATACTAATTTATTTTCTACTTTTGTTTGGTTTTATCAATTCAGTCCTAGTATTTTTTTTAATAAGATTTTAATTTTCGTGAATTTTATTCAATTTAATCATTTTTTATTTATGTTGTTTAAATAATTAACTGATAGTTAATAATGTATGTCATGTGTCTAGTTTCTTTATTTTCTTTTTCTAATTTTTTTTAATTTTTCTTAATTTAAAAGAAAATGTTCATATATCAAGCCAGTATCATGTTAGGTGACAATATTATGTGTCAAATGTTTTATATTTAATTTAGTTTCTAAATTCATTATTTCTTATTAATTCAGTTTCAATATTTTTTATATGGTAATTCTGCCCGTTTCCAATTCAAACCAAATTGAATTTTTATATAAATGTTATACTGATTTTTAAGTTAATTGGTTTTTAACCTAAAAATCACATAAAAGTATTAAATAATTATGTGATTTTTAACCTCTTAAAATTTTAAACCAATAATGTTAATCTCCACTTCTAAAATTTTCGTTCTAGTTTTAAACCAACTATATCCCAAAAAAAAAATATTTAATAAAAATATAAATTTTAAAAAATTAAAGTTGGTTTTAATTTAGAAAGAGACAAAATTACTTTATTTTAAAAAAAAAATAAGACTAAATTGAACAAAAATAATGAATATAAATATCACACATGACACTAACACTAATATATGACACTAACACTAATATGTATCACTTTAACATTGACACTGACATGTGACACTAAGTCTACCATATGATACAATACTAACTTAACACATAAACAATTTTTTAAATTAAAAAAAAAATAAAAACTAATTCTTCACGCAAAAATTGACTTCAAGTTTATTTGTTTGAATTGGAAACGTTATTAGAATTGAATGGAATTGTTATAGAGAAGCGGCGAAAGACTTGTAGTTCTTTTCCTAAAAGTGAAAGTGAAACTAAGACGTGTCATGTTTTCAACATTATGTTATGCTTATGCCAGCAGATAGAATGCTACCAAACAGTCGTAAATCAAACCCATACATAATGTTCCCTTTCATTCTAGTCTATCTACATATTTTAGTATGCTTAAAGTTCTAACAACCTTTTTCATGCACTACACAGATTCCGAAAACTATACCAAGTACTAAAGTGATATAGGGGAAAATAACATTTTCTGAATGGGTATAAAAAAAGATCTTAACCTGTGTATTTATATATCACTGTCTCTCTCAATGGGTATAAAAAAATACAAACAGCCTCTATTTCCATTACAATGGCATCCAATCTGCTGAAATGACTCTAAAAATAGGAGGGGGTGAAAGAAATAAAAACAGATTAGAGGTAAAAAAGAATAATTTAAAATGTTAGCAAAATCTGCTTTGTATGATTTCTATACTAAGGCTACGATCTATACCTGAAATTTACATAAGCGCTTGGGTAATGATCGGGAAAAACCCCATGAAGCCAAAAAACTGGAATGCCCGTCGTGACAGCCAGAAGAGCTTCTATCATTGTCTTTTTCTTCCTCACAATTAACATTCTCTTCAAAATAATTTCTGGCCATGGCAAGGAATCAGTCAAAAAATTAAGTAATCAGGTCAGCATGATCGTAGTTTGGTGGAGACAACGGTGGGATTGCAGATGGGAGTGAATCATCTATAACTTTCAAAATTCTTCTCCCAGTTGCTTGGGATAACCTGCCGGCATCAAATTTTCTAGAAGATAACATATCTGATCTGGAATTCCTAGTTGAATTGCTACTGTCAACAGATTTTAAAAACTTCTCTTTTGATAAATTCGTTTGAGTAGCTTTTGCAATCACGGAGCTAAACACACCAGATTCCCTCAAACTTTGAATAATAATCTGCAAAGATAGGTTTTGGGTGGAAAGATGAAGACCGTTTCTGATAACTATGTTGACTAACTATGTAAATTGTTTGGAGAGAGACCAGAAAGCAAATTCCATGTATGTGAACTTACCGTGGGAGCATAAATACGAGTCAAGATGCCTTTCCTCATAAGTCTCATGTTAAGTGCTTTATCAGTCCAGACAATCCGTTCACGATACCTACGTGAAAGAAAAGGCCCATTAACAACAAATAGTTCAGCTGCTTAACTACCCTGAACCCCCATCAAGACTCTAGTAATTCTCATATCACTACTTACCATTGAAGCATTTCTTCCTCAGTTGCAGTGGAAGCAATTATGAATGCCTAAACAGAAGATTTGTGTCCGATTAAAAAAAATTTAACATACATCGATACAGTGGTAACCCACACAGGCCAACAAGCTAGGAAGTAAAGAACAAAAACATAACGAATAAACAACTACTCAAGTCATTAGGCAAGCCACCAAGAAAAAATAAAAAGGATAAAAAGGATAAAAAGGACGGAAGGGTATTTCTGATTCAAAGGACTAGTGAAAAACAAAAGAACTATTTTTTTTCTGAGAAAACTCAGCGGGGAATGTCACAAAATCATGCAAAAAAATAACAAAACGAAAGTTCTGGTCTAGATTCAACTCAGAAACCTTTGTGTGGGCTTAGAAAAACATCAAATTGTCAAACCCATAAGATAATCTTCGGAATATAAAAATGTAATTGCAACTAATAATTTACTTTTTAACCTAGAAAAAACTGGTAAAATTTATAACTACAATGAACTAGAGCGTGTAATCGGCAACTATAACTTACAGATCTATCAAAATCCAACATGAAGCATCTTTTAACATCTTCTTTAGTAGGCTTGCAGCCACACCGATCACGTCTTGAAGTCAAATCAGAAAATTTGGTGTAGGTGTAATGCAGAACAGCAGCTTCTTCCAATTTTATCTCTCTGATGAAAGATTTGGCATACAGATCAGTGTAAAATATATACACAGAATTATGCATTCTNGAAATAAAAACAGATTAGAGGTAAAAAAGAATAATTTAAAATGTTAGCAAAATCTGCTTTGTATGATTTCTATACTAAGGCTACGATCTATACCTGAAATTTACATAAGCGCTTGGGTAATGATCGGGAAAAACCCCATGAAGCCAAAAAACTGGAATGCCCGTCGTGACAGCCAGAAGAGCTTCTATCATTGTCTTTTTCTTCCTCACAATTAACATTCTCTTCAAAATAATTTCTGGCCATGGCAAGGAATCAGTCAAAAAATTAAGTAATCAGGTCAGCATGATCGTAGTTTGGTGGAGACAACGGTGGGATTGCAGATGGGAGTGAATCATCTATAACTTTCAAAATTCTTCTCCCAGTTGCTTGGGATAACCTGCCGGCATCAAATTTTCTAGAAGATAACATATCTGATCTGGAATTCCTAGTTGAATTGCTACTGTCAACAGATTTTAAAAACTTCTCTTTTGATAAATTCGTTTGAGTAGCTTTTGCAATCACGGAGCTAAACACACCAGATTCCCTCAAACTTTGAATAATAATCTGCAAAGATAGGTTTTGGGTGGAAAGATGAAGACCGTTTCTGATAACTATGTTGACTAACTATGTAAATTGTTTGGAGAGAGACCAGAAAGCAAATTCCATGTATGTGAACTTACCGTGGGAGCATAAATACGAGTCAAGATGCCTTTCCTCATAAGTCTCATGTTAAGTGCTTTATCAGTCCAGACAATCCGTTCACGATACCTACGTGAAAGAAAAGGCCCATTAACAACAAATAGTTCAGCTGCTTAACTACCCTGAACCCCCATCAAGACTCTAGTAATTCTCATATCACTACTTACCATTGAAGCATTTCTTCCTCAGTTGCAGTGGAAGCAATTATGAATGCCTAAACAGAAGAGTTGTGTCCGATTAAAAAAAATATAACATACATCGATACAGTGGTAACCCACACAGGCCAACAAGCTAGGAAGTAAAGAACAAAAACATAACGAATAAACAACTACTCAAGTCATTAGGCAAGCCACCAAGAAAAAATAAAAAGGATAAAAAGGACGGAAGGGTATTTCTGATTCAAAGGACTAGTGAACAACAAAAGAACTATTTTTTTTCTGAGAAAACTCAGCGGGGAATGTCACAAAATCATGCAAAAAAATAACAAAACGAAAGTTCTGGTCTAGATTCAACTCAGAAACCTTTGTGTGGGCTTAGAAAAACATCAAATTGTCAAACCCATAAGATAATCTTCGGAATATAAAAATGTAATTGCAACTAATAATTTACTTTTTAACCTAGAAAAAACTGGTAAAATTAATAACTACAATGAACTAGAGCGTGTAATCGGCAACTATAACTTACAGATCTATCAAAATCCAACATGAAGCATCTTTTAACATCTTCTTTAGTAGGCTTGCAGCCACACCGATCACGTCTTGAAGTCAAATCAGAAAATTTGGTGTAGGTGTAATGCAGAACAGCAGCTTCTTCCAATTTTATCTCTCTGATGAAAGATTTGGCATACAGATCAGTGTAAAATATATACACAGAATTATGCATTCTTCACTATTAAGTATTCACATAAGGAAATTAACAGCAATAAGCAGCTACCAAGTATTTCAGAAAAAGATCAAGAAGAAAAAGAAAAGAAAGCAACACATTCACAAGGAAATACTTTCAGCACACTATGATTGTATGAAATTTATTTGAGATGGGACCTACCAAAACAGTTTACACTAAGCTCGAAATAATTATAGGTATACATGATAGACGACTCAATTTTTTTATGTTTAACCTTTCAGCTTGTAAACTAGATTTATTAAACTCCAAGACAAATGCAGATTCAGTACTAAGTACCCTTAACAATGAAATCATGCGATAGTAAAAATGAAGACATATACACATGTCTTACATAATACACACTCATAAATTAATGACAGGCAGGATCAACGTACTTGGGTGTCTTCATATAGTTATGCCATCTGTGGGCACCATTCGGACGGAGATGATCCTGAATCCTGGCAGCTGATTTCCCATTTCCATAAGTAAGAAAATAGTTTGGATTGCCACGGGTTGATTCTTTATAATTTCCAAAATATACATCCTTCGGAAGATGATCGTAGTTCTTCTTGAACATTGAAACCTATGATAACATGCAACCTAAATGTGTCAATAACACACTTGATTTCTAAAAGGATAAAGAAGTTGGTACAGAGAACAACATTAGCGAAAAGGCTACAAGATCATTTCCTTTTTTTCTTCTAGAAATCTTTATGGAAAAGTTTGTCCGAACAGACCCTAAACTGTATTAGCAGGTTGGATTTTGAATCTCTCAATCCTACCAAGTTAGCTTCTGCCTCACTTTTATTCAATAGACAATAGAAGTTAAAATACTCTTGTAAAAGTATAAAATTCTAAATAACGCATCTTCATGGCTAAAAATACATCATTTCTGCGCTGTAAAAATTCCATAAAAGGTTTATTATAAAACACATACGGAACTCCTGGGTATGAATGCATATATGCATGTCAGCTTTAGTATAATAGAAGTTATGATAAGAATCAATAGATTTTACTGTTTTTACAAAAGACATTATCATAAACAGACATTAAACAGTAATTAATAAAGGCAATAATCATATCAGTTCAATACTTCTTTCATTTGATACTAGACGTCAAAGTTAAAATGATGGTCAAATCAAAGTCCAAGTTGAACCACATTATGACTTGCAGATAAAACTACAATACACACACAATATGTAAATATAAGTCTCTGTGTATAACCTGTCGTTTACGGTTCATTAAGTTATTAATTAGGTCATTTCATTTTTCTGACAGGCTAGATACAAGTACAGTCATGAGGGGAACAGAAGTTAGAAATGCAGAGCACATGATTTGCTCACTGCGGCTGTCATTTTCTTCAACTTTGGAAGTGAAAAGTGCCATTCCAGCCAGACCCGACAACCCTTGGAGCATAAACTTGCCATTCCAAAACTTACACACTATAATCATGTGATGCAGCCAAAAATCGTGATTCATACACAATTCCAAAACGATTCTGGTGATCACTATGCAAGTCAGGCCCAAAAGAGATACAATCTCCAATTTGCATCACTAGCAGATGTAAACACATCGTGTTGACTGTATCACATTTAGATTTAAATATAGATGATACACTGGCTTAAAACTTAGGTAAGCTATTTAAACAAATACCTCACTGAAAGGCTCCTTGATATCATCTCTCTCCACACTGCTTTCCTGAAACAAAAAACATTTCATAACCAAGTTTAAAATTATCAATGAATATCAAAAGGGCAAAAAGAATACAGTTCGATCAACTAGTATCAAATAGTACAGTCAGGATCAAAATAAAATTCCTGCACTCACATAATTAGGAAAAATGACCATATCAACATTTCCGGGCACATCAGCTAACAACTGCCTTAAAGAGTACTCAGGGGTTCCTGCTGGATGCATCAGCTCATCAGTGTCCAGATGGATGATCCAATCCATTCCAGAATCCTAAACAAAAAAATATCATCCAGAAAAAAAGAAGTAAACTACAAAACTGAAGGTATGATAATGATTAATAAATAAAAGAAATCACAACCCATACCCTTGCCATGACAATAGCCATTTCCATATTCAAAGATTGCTTCACAAACAACTCATAGTTACATGGTTTGTAGAAGAAGCTTGCCAACCAAGTCTCATTCCATATTCGGCTGAAATAATAGATAACAGACATTGGAAATACGCAAATAAGGAACAAATCGTTGTATTAAACTTTAGCATGTAATCTTAAAATCAGAAACTCCATACAAATAAAAAACTTATGAAGATTATTGGAAACTACTGATCTCAATTATCTTAAGCTGTGAGTGAAATAAGAACCCCCCCAATGATGAATTTTATGTTTTAAACCTACCCCATCACTTTAAGGTGTTCAGTACTTCATCTCATATGTGCAAGTCATATCATAATTCACTATCCATTATCCATTATCCATTATCCATTATTCTATATAAAAGAGAGCAAGATTCAGAATACTTGGCTCCCACTAGTGCTATGATGTTCTTCAAACCTAAAACCCACTGAAGGGTAAACTAGACAATTCATAGAAAAGGTTTCATGTCTGAGAATTACACGATAACAAGTATGGGAATATTATGACAAACAAAAAAAAAAAGCAATAGAGCACTTGACCAATCAAGCCCTGATCTGAGGTCGAAGAATCATTTGACCGAAAGAGTTTAACTGTTTTAGCCATGATTTAACTGTTCAATGCTGGATTTCGTAACAAAGGATATAATGGGAAAGAATTTCTATGTGGATCAGAACCTTGGTGACGTCAATTTTTTCATATGCCAGGAAGATCTTCCAAGACAAGCATTTGATCATATACATATTCTGAATCCCATCATTATGTCCCCAAATAGGCATACATTCAGATTTAGATAAAAAAAAAAAAACCAAGCCAGAACAAAATTTCTAAAAGATACAATAACTATTGCAATCCACAACACAAAAAGTGATATAGTGGATGACCTAAGCTCAATCCTCTACCAAAGATCTCCATCAACAAACTAACCACAAATCTACAGAATAATTTAAACAAAAACCACCACCAAAGATCCGTATCAACAAACTATACACAGACCAGATCCAGATCGCATCTGGAACTTCAAACTCAGAAAAAACATACCACCAGCACAGACGTGCACTTAATAAAACAGTCAACACCATCTAAACAAAAGAAAGAAAGCATTCAAAAACCACGCGCAATAAGTTCGTTTGAAAACAACTCTCGCCACTCAAACAGTAAAAGAAAAACTCTTTCAATCCAGAACAAGTCTCAAAGTGGAACAAAACAAAATACCTTTTAGCTTGCTGCTCCTCTAACTCCCTCGTTCTAAACACAACCTTCACCCCCTGATTTGAAAAAATAAAAACACGTTTCAAATTCCAATCTAAGATCCAAAAAAAAACGAACCTCCGGATAACAATAAAAAAATAATAATAAAACTAACTCACGGGAATGCTCTCTAAAACCCTAGTGACATTAGGCAACGCAGCCTTCCCTTCGACGAAGAGGAGGAAGCTGGAGACTCCGATGACCTTGTGGTAGAAGATCCACGGCAGCGTCTGCTCCAACCCAGCGGAGGTGCTCGTGGTGACACATATCTGAACGAATTCCAAAATTTAAAAGAGTCAACAAGGGAGAATCAGAAATCCCAAATTCGCTAAAGAACGATGAGAATGATGATGGTAGTGGTAACACGAAGGGTTTATGATAGGGTAGAGGACCTTAGGTGAGAGGTGGGAGGAGAAATCGAAGTTCCAGTCGCGGAAGTAGGGGAAAGAGGGGTTGAGAGACTGGGAAAGGGGGTTGGAACAATCGGAGGTGCGGCGAGAGGGAGTGGAATAAGCTAAGGACATGCCGGGAAACTGGGGTTGATCGGGTGACCAGCGGGTGAGGGGGTCGGTGACGCCACCGCGCCATTGGAGGACGAAAGCGATGGAGGCGAGGGTGAGAGGGAGGAGAGTGAGGAGAAGGAGGAGGCGCGAGAAGGAGGATGGTGGTTGGTGCTGGAATTGTCTGTTGGAGAGTGCACCCGCCATCGGTGGAACTGCGAGGGATCAAAGTGGTGGAAGGTTCATGTGATGTGATGCGATGAGATGAGATTAGAATGTTGTTGTTTATATATTGTTTGGTTTGGTTGGGTGTGTATGTAAGAGTGTGGTGAGAGGAATGGAAGAGAAAAGGAGAAAAGAAAAAAAAATGAGAGAGACGACTCACTCGAAACTGAAATACACGTTAGGAATAACAACAGCTGAAAGGAGCCGTTTTGTCGTTGCCATTTTCGTTTCTCCAACCACTTTTTTTCACATTTTTATTTTTAATAAATATAATATTTAATATTACAAAAATCAAAAGCTGGAATAGCTCAGTTGGTTAGAGCGTGTGGCTGTTAACCACAAGGTCGGAGGTTCAAGCCCTCCTTCTAGCGTTTTCTCTTTTACCATTTTGTGTACTTGAAATGTCACTTTTCAAAGAGTTGACTTATTACTTACTAATATTGTAATAAAATCTTTAAAAATGCATTGTGATTTTAGATAAATATGTGTTTATGACAGGTTTGAAAGGGATTGAAATATTGTGATGGGCATGATGGGTAACTTTCATCTTTTGAATTGAGATTTGGTTAGATGGTGAGATGAAATTGGATGTGTCATCTTTCTATTTTGGTTATTAATTAAATTATAATGTTTATTATAGTTGCCTTCTTAGTGGGGGAAAATTAAAAGGAAGATGGTGCTGTATGGTTAATAAAGATACAATTAATGTCATTACGTGAATGTTTGATAATTTGGCTCAAGCTTAAAGAGAAGGCAAAAATTAAAGGTTGAATCAATCAATGTTTATAGTGCATGAACCAACTCTATGTGGAGGGCAATTACTATAAGACAAATCGCATTCAATAAATAATTTAACTTTTTCTTCTAAAGGATCTTTGTAAAATTAGACACAAAAAGTTCTCATCTTCAAAGGGTTTGTTTAAAGTGTTCAATAGCGTGTCATTTTATCGAACCTTCTCTTTTTAGCACAAGTTGCTTCCCAAAATCATACTATGGGTGGAAATTTTAGGAGATTCGAATGGAGTAGAATTAAAATCCATTATAAGAAACTTTTAATTTAAAAAAAAAGAATATATATATATATTACCAACTCTTTCTTCTACCCTTTTAAAAGCTTGTGTGTGTTTTCTATATGGAATTTAACCCAACATTTCCTACACAACTTTTTGAAGAAAATATCAGTTTAAATTTACGATTTCAAAGAGTTTTGATTAGCAAATCTAGTTGCTTACTTTTATTTTTTCTAATTTATTTCCTTTGGCTGTGCCTGTGGTTAAATACATGGCAATGAAATATGCTGAAAATGATGATAAATTTAACATGGGAAGGAATGAAGTAATTTTGAAATGTGATAAAGAACTTTCCTATTTATTTGAGCAAAGAAAAAAATTACTATAAAAAATTGGGATGGGAAGATTCATGTAATTATTATGTACTTTTACTCTCTAATATATTTTTATTTTAGTTTGTTGACTTTCTTTTATTATTTTTTTTCCATTTATCTTTTTCTGGATTTCAATTTAGTACAATTTATCAATTATGACGGTAATTGAAGTTGTTTACAAGCAAAATTTGTCATAATCAATAAATTAGACTAACTTAAAAGTAAATAAAAAGATAAAAAAAATGGAAATGAAAAATAGAGTTGGAAGATCAAACCTAAGAGAGAAAAAAAAGGCAAAGCTAAAGAAGTAATTCTACCTAAGTGTGTGCGTCATGAATATCTCTTAAGTGCAATTAAAAATATCTAAGTCAAAGATTAATTAATATTGGAGGCATTCAAAAATCAATCTCATCAAACCAATCTGAGTTTGATAAATAGAAAAGTATCCAATTTATTATTTTAGTGTGTGCACGCATTTAATTGATAACATTATTGGTAATGACGTTTCAATTAGTAGGAATTTGTTTTTTTATTTGAATCAAGCTTTACGTGTGATTAGTCTAATAAAATAAAGAGTTAAGAGTTCGAATAAGAATTATTTTGAAATTATTTATATATAAAGACTGGTTTAAAAAATGAATTTTAAAATTCAAGAGGACTCAAAATTCTCCTTTACTTAACAAAATTCAATTACGAAAAATAAACACGTCATGAAGTCAATTCCTTATTCCTTAAATATGTTCACATTATAATATTAGTCCACAGAATCTATAAACGAAGGCCACAAGATGCGGGTTATAGGTTAAGAATTTTATAACTTCTGATAATTTATTAATATCAACTACCTATTGTATTAATATTTATATTAGTTATTAATACTTAAATAGTTTGGTATAAGTGATTTAATTTAATGTAGTGAGTATATTAGATTTTTAAGAGAAATGTGATAAGGATTTAATAACTACAAAATTAATTTGAATGAAAACCTTAATAGGTTAAAACTTAAACCATGGTTATGGTCTCTAGACACCAAATAAAAGAAGCATGATGGTAAATGAATAACAAAATTTATAAAAATGTTATTGCATGGTGTTGTGTGTAATTGTTGTAACACAACACAATGAAATATAAACTTAATTATATGTACCAATATAATTAAGTTATAGAGACAAAAGTGAAAAGTTATAGAATATATTGTACCAATATTCTTATCAACACAACTTCAAAAACGTAAAAAGTGAAAGAATAAAAAAGTTATAGAGATAAAAGTGTTGATAAGAAAACGAGTTTAGCACTTTATCTTAATTAAATGCACCAATAAAAATATTAGTCTAAAATATAAAGAAATTTTACCTTATTTTATTTAATGATATATTTAAAAATAATATTAATTTGATTGAAACTTTATTTTTAATAATTTTTTTTATTGTTTTCAATAAAAGTAATCTAAGAACAGTGTTATAAATAAGATTAGTAGGCACACTAACAAAATATGCAAAAAGTGTAATTTATAAAATTTATAAAATTTATAACTTTATTTTCTTTTCTTTCAACATTTTACTTATTTCTTCTCCTATTTTTTTCAGAAGCTTTAACTTCAATGGAATAATTTAAGCTAACAAAATAATTTTCTTCCTTCTAAACAAAAATTAAAAATAATTGACATTTGGGGCTGATGAATCGAGATGTCCCAGGTCTTCATGAACGTTGACTTTGCAACACAGTACAAATCCTCTTTGGAATTTCCGCGTTCCCAGGTTTCATTTCTTATTAAAATATTCAACTTCTACTAGTATTGTTCATTAAGAAAAAATAATGTGAGTATACAATTAATTTTACTTAAATTTTGTAAATTTAAGATTGAGAGTGATCTATTAGATAATTGCAGATTAATGTTAATTTATTCTTTAATAAATTTATGTAACCGTTATTAAAGGTTAAGTAAACATGTGTTATACATATTTGAGAACATTTTGGTCATCAAGGTTAAGATGTATTTGACTTAAGTATATTTCGATATTATAACATTATATCGGTCATAACGATACTTAAGTATATTTGGATATTATAATATCATATCGGTTATGACGATATCATATCGGTCATGACGATATCATATCAGTCAGATTATTAATAGTGTCAAAACGTGATTAAGTTAAGACAATGATTAAAACATAGTATAGTATTAGATAAAGTTAATTAAGGTTATTAGTCACATAAATCAAATTTATTTAGGTAAAAGTCCATAAATATGATACAAATAACACAATAGATAACGTAAATTAATTACATTTTACTATATTTATTACCATCTGATGCATTTGTTAACTAGAGTGTCAAGGTATCTTCTAATGACACATGTCATTCAGTTATAGAAGAACCTAAGACATCTGAGTTTGAAGATATAAAATTGGAATTTAGAGCCTAAAAGAGACATGGAAGAAAATCTTACATGTATATTCAGTCTTGCAATAACAAAACATACATTCAATTACCTTAATAATTAATGAAGTTCAAACAAAATTAGTTAAATTAATTGTCCTTGCATTTATTAAAGAGAAAATTAATATTAATATGTATTTAATCTTAACCTTTACTTTACTTTGTAAATTTGATTTTTTTTTCGAATGAAAAAGATATAAATGAAGAGAAAGAGTAGAAAGATATTGAATACAATTTGTATTCTGAATTATATAATCAGAAATGTAAAATAAATAATATATTTTAGATTGTATACTCCAAAATATAAAAATTTTAAATTTTAAATTATATAATTTAAAATATTATTTTTATTTTGTATTTCAAATTATATAATTGAAAATATTTTTTTTATATTTTGAATTGTATATTCTAAAATGTTTTCAGAAAGTTTGGAATCAAAATAAAAAATAGTAAAATTGAAATTTAAAATGTACATAGGTACATAAAAATTATGAAGGTGTAGAAAGAAACTTTATTTTTAACTTAAATTCAAATTTTATCTCTACAGCTTGCAAATCTATAGTTTTAATTTCTATAAAGTTTGAATTGAATATTCAGTGTCTCAATTTGTTTAAAATTAAGTAATTTTAATTTAGGTTTAATATATCATTCATTTGCTATCTTTAAAAATCTCGTATTAGGTGTGGTAGAGTATTTTAAATAATGAGACTTTATTGTTTTATTTAAAAAATATCAGTATAAATAAAATTTCTTAATTAGGAGTTTTATTATTTAACAAACTTTATCTTTCTAAAACTTATTTCTTTAAATTTTCTCTATTTTTTCTCTAAGAATCATAATTCTCTATACATCTATTGAAAGATCAGAAATCGTCTGAGGGTTCCTTGAAGTGAGATCTTCATTTTTAACCGATTGATTTCAGCTAAGTCGATTTTTATCCTTTTCTTTAAAGTTTGGTGTCTTTGCATGTAGGGTTTTCTTCACTCTTTTGAGGTCTGAGTCTTCTCTAAGACTCTTTGTTGATCAATGACACTAAGGGTATACTCTAATCAAATTGTCATTAATTATAGGAGCAAATAAAGATCTTGGAGTCGTAGGAGAAATTTTAGAATTATTGGAACTATCAGAACGTCAACCAGGTAAGGGAAGCTAGTTTATTTGGTTTAGATTTGGTATGCATGTAATATTTGATGTTTGTATGATGATGTGATGATTGATTTGTGAACTTTGATTAAATCGTGAATTTTGGTATGTTGGGTGTTTAAGAAAGGTGGTATGTTGAATTAAAAATTGATGCATGTTGGTGTGTCTAGTTTATTGTTGTTAAAGTTTGTTTATTGAT